CATATTGTATAAACAACTGGAAAAAACTTGAGCCCCTGCCCCTGTATAATCATGTGCACGTCTCTGTTCTAGCTCTAAGGTGAATCTTCACTGCTCATGTTCTCCTCAGAAGCAGTCACCTCACTCCCCTCAGGTTACTGTACACATGCACCAACTGCCTGCTTCAGGTTTGGATGGAGCTTCATGGTTGTCTTTTGGAGAAATGACCAGTCAAGTTGTGTTTGAAATTTGATTTTTTTCAGGGGCAAAAGGAGCCTCTGCATTCTTGTCAAATATGTAAATAGCATGTTTTTGCAGGTGCTAAAAACCAGACTCTGAGTGTGTGTGTGTGCGTGTGTGTGTGTGTCTGTGTGTGTGTGTGTGTGTGTGTGTGTGCGTTCAAGTCACATGACATATTTAACCGGATGTAGCTGCAAGACGGAGCCTCGTTGACTCCGTTTCAACTTATCTCAAAAGTGAGGACCTCAACCTATATACCAGTTTTTAAATTGTGTTGATAGGCCAAATAAAACCAGAGTTATGATAAATTATGTCCGCGATACTTGTTTTCTGCTTATTTTGATCACGTTCGGCGCTCGATCGCGCTGTATGAGACAGGAAAACATAGCATGCAGACATTAGCGACAGGTCTTACAGGCGGAAAAGGCTTGCCAAAGGAAAAAAAAAACACACCACAACATCTCTCCTATTGGTGGAAAACTTCACCACAACAACCAATCCAAAATTATATGGTGACTGATTGACAAGGGGCGGGCGCTTACGTTCTTCCTGCAACATGAGAAGGGAGGGAGGGACTCTCAGCAGGGATGCAGTCTGGGACACGTAGTTGCAAACCTAGCGACTTTGTTGTTAGATTCAATTACTTTTCAGACCCCCTAACGACTTTTTTTTAGAAAGAAAGTGACTTTTATCGACTTCTTCTGGAGTTTAGAGACTCTGACATGAAGCAGGCTTTCCTTACTGAGGAGTTAGCAACGCTGCTAAGGGTGCAGAGCCACACATAAGCTCCGAGCTCTGCATGGGAGACTGAAGCTGACAGAGCTGCAGCAGTTAGCAGGTTTCACCCTCAGAGACCACCAGGGGTTCATGTTGAGGCATTTTCAGTTTTTTTTTTTTTTTTTGCCATAGACACTGTCAGCACAATCTGCAGTTACACTAACAAAAATGCTGCAAAAAACAAAGAATTATGGAAAAATTACACATGGACTAACATAGAGGAGGATATACACAAGTTTTTTACATCATGTTTTACATCATGCATCATTTACATCATGTTTTTTTGTAGTGGCATAAATAAAAAGTGACATTTGTGAGACTATACAGTGTTTTGTAAATAATTTTACAAAGAACACCTGGGCCATTGCCTGCATTTTGATGTAAATAGAGGTAAATTACTATGTTCTTTGTTAAAAATTTGCATATGTTTTGAAGTTTACAATTTTTATTTGAAGTTTAAGTTTTAAAAACAGTTCATCACACATATTTGTGGTTTTCACAGTAAAAACGTTACTTTTTTCCACTCGGATTTTATGTTTTGTGTGTGAATTTGGGTCCAATGTGTAAATATAGTATGTCAAAATGATAAAATAACTGTAAATTGACACAGGTGAGGTTGTGCTGAAAAAAATGATACCAGGCAAGGCAAGGTAAAAATTTTGTAAGAGGAAATATAAAGGTAAAATCTAAAGTAGTCAAAAACGGCCAATAGTGACTCACAGACTCCACAGACAAGTCCCTTTGGCGCCACTCAGTGGGCAAAACTACTTTGTCTACTGTAATGTATATTTGGGTCATCTTTGGCGCCCCCTAAAACGTAAACCGTGGGGTGCAGCGTCATGATTTTTACAACTTTGAATGGCCATGGAGTGTAGATTGGCCTGAGCAAATTTGGTGTCAGTGGGACGAAAGCCTTAGGAGGAGTTAGCGAAATTCCAATGTGTGCGAATCGGCAAAAAATGCAAAATAGCCCTTTTACCGTACATTATACAGATACGCGCTCTTTGACTTTTTCGTAGATCTAATTGAGATACACATGATTGTCAATTTTTGTGTCATTTTGCCAAAGCGTACAGGCGTGACAGTCAACAATGTGTATTTTCACCTTAGGGGACAAGAAAAAATGGACTTTTTTCTCCTGCCATGGGGGGCGCTCTTTTAGGGAGTAAAAATTCCTTCACAAATGTGTTGATGGCTGGACATTGCATCATCCTAGAAAACTTGGAGGCCAGTGAGGACAAAAATAAAAAGTTAAAAGACTTTTAAAAATGTGGATTTTTGGGTTATCTTTGGCGCCCCCTAGAACGTAAACCGTGGGCTGCAGCGTCATGATTTGAATAACTTTTAATGGCCATGGAGTGTAGATTGGCCTGAGCAAATGTGGTGCCGGTGGAACGAAAGCCTTCGGAGGAGTTAGCGAAATTCCAATGTGTGCGAATCGGCAAAAAATGCGGAATAACCCTTTAACCGTACATTTGACAGATACGCGCGCATGGACTTTTTTGTAGATCTTATTGAGATACATGTGTGTGTCAATTTTTGTGTCATTTTGACAAAGCGTACAGGCGTGACACTCAACAATGTGTATTTTCACCTTAGGGGACAAGAAAAAATGGACTTTTTTCTCCTGCCATGGGGGGGCGCTCTTTTGGGGAGTAAAAATTCCTTCACAAATGTGTTGATGGCTGGACATTGCATCATCCTAGAAAACTTGGAGGCCAGTGAGGGCAAAAATAAAAAGTTATAAGACTTTTAAATATGTGGATTTTAGGGTTATCTTTGGCGCCCCCTAGAACCTAAACCGTGGGGTGCAGCGTCATGATTTGAATAACTTTTAATGGCCATGGGGTGTAGATTGGCCTGAGCAAATGTGGTGCCGGTGGAACGAAAGCCTTTGGAGGAGTTAGCGAAATTCCAATGTGTGCGGATCGGCAAAAAATGCGAAATAACCCTTTAACCGTACATTTGACAGATACGCCCGCACTGACTTTTTTGTAGATCTTATTGAGATACATGTGTGTGTCAAATTTTGTGTCATTTTGACAAAGCGTACAGGCGTGACACTCAATAGTGTGAATTTTCACCTTAGGGGGCGCTATGGAGCCATTTTGCATTTTCTTGTTTGAGCGACTTCGGAATATCAAATTTTTCACCAGGCCCGGTCGTCCTGCCAAATTTCATGAGTTTTCGCCAGTGGGAAGTGGGCCATTTTCCAGTTCAAAGGGGAGGAAAAAGAAACAAGAAAAAATGGACTTTTTTCTCCTGCCATGGGGGGGCGCTCTTTTGGGGAGTAAAAATTCCTTCACAAATGTGTTGATGGCTGGACATTGCATCATCCTAGAAAACTTGGAGGGCAGTGAGGACAAAAAAAAAAGTTATAAAACTTTTAAGAATGTGGATTTTAGGGTTATTTTTGGCGCCCCCTAGAACCTAAACCGTGGGGTGCAGCGTCATGATTTGTACAACTTTGAATGGCCATGGAGTGTAGATTGGCCTGAGCAAATGTGGTGCCGGTGGAACGAAAGCCTTCGGAGGAGTTAGCGAAATTCCAATGTGTGCGGATCGGCAAAAAATGCGAAATAACCCTTTAACCGTACATTTGACAGATACGCCCGCACTGACTTTTTTGTAGATCTTATTGAGATACATGTGTGTGTCAATTTTTGTGTCAATATGACAAAGCGTACAGGCGTGACAGTCAATAGTGTGAATTTTCACCTTAGGGGGCGCTATGGAGCCATTTTGCATTTTATTGTTTGGGCGACTTCAGAATATCGAATTTTTCACCAGGCCCGGTCGTCCTGCCAAATTTCCTGAGTTTTCGCCAGTGGGAAGTGGGCCATTTTCCAGTTTAAAGCGGAGGAAAAATAATAATACTAGGACCCCGTTGGGGCACTGGCGGGCCCGAGCCGTGTCGCGTCTCCCCCCCCCCCCCCCCCCAACGTGCTGCCTCCCCGCCCCATTTGTGTCCTCTGGCCATCGCCCTCTCTGTTAACGCCCATCACTGCAAAGACCCTTTTCCTTCATCGGCGTTTGCTGTTCTTCCTGCCAGTGCGTGTTGCTTTCACTTACACTTGCCACAGCCAGCCTCGTGAGTGCCTAGCCTATTGGATATCACTGTCACCTACACAGGACAGTCATTACCTTTCTATTAATACTTTGTGTTTTAATTTCACATTAATTTCCATATTGTATAAACGACTGGAAAAAACTTGAGCCCCTGCCCCTGTATAATCATGTGCATGTCTCTGTTCTAGCTCCAAGGTGAATCTTCACTGCTCATGTTCTCCTCAGAAGCACTCACCTCACTCCCCTCAGGTTACTGTACACATGCACCAACTGCCTGCTTCAGGTTTGGATGGAGCTTCATGGTTGTCTTTTGGAGAAATGACCAGTCAAGTTGTGTTTGAAATTTGATTTTTTTCAGGGGCAAAAGGAGCCTCTGCATTCTTGTCAAATATGTAAATAGCATGTTTTTGCAGGTGCTAAAAACCAGACTCTGAGTGTGTGTGTGTGTGTGTGTGTGTGTGTGTGTGTGTGTGTGTGTGTGTGCGTGTGTGTGTGTCTATGTGTGCGTTCAAGTCACATGACATATTTAACCGGATGTAGCTGCAAGACGGAGCCTCGTTGACTCTCCGTTTCAACTTATCTCAAAAGTGAGGACCTCAACCTATATACCAGTTTTTAAATTGTGTTGATAGGCCAAATAAAACCAGAGTTATGATAAATTATGTCCGCGATACTTTTTTTCTGCTTATTTTGATCACGTTCGGCGCTCGATCGCGCTGTATGAGACAGGAAAACATAGCATGCAGACATTAGCGACAGGTCTTACAGGCGGAAAAGGCTTGCCAAAAGAAAAAAAAAACACACCACAACATCTCTCCTATTGGTGGAAAACTTCACCACAACAACCAATCCAAAATTATATGGTGACTGATTGACAAGGGGCGGGCGCTTACGTTCTTCCTGCAACATGAGAAGGGAGGGAGGGACTCTCAGCAGGGATGCAGTCTGGGACACGTAGTTGCAAACCTAGCGACTTTGTTGTTAGATTCAATGACTTTTCAGACACCCTAACGACTTTTTTTAGAAAGAAAGTGACTTTTATCGACTTCTTCTGGAGTTTAGAGACTCTGACATGAAGCAGGCTTTCCATACTGAGGAGTTAGCAACGCTGCTAAGGGTGCAGAGCCACACATGCGCTCAGAGCTCTGCATGGGAGACTGAAGCTGACAGAGCTGCAGCAGTTAGCAGGTTTCACCCTCAGAGACCACCAGGGGTTCATGTTGAGGCATTTTAATTTTTTTTTTTTTTTGTGCCATAGACACTGTCAGCACAATCTGCAGTTACACTAACAAAAATGCTGCAAAAAACAAAGAATTATGGAAAAATTACACATGGACTGACATAGAGGAGGATCTACACAAGTTTTTTACATCATGTTTTACATCATGCATCATTTACATCATGTTTTTTTGTAGTGGCATAAATAAAAAGTGACATTTGTGAGACTATACAGTGTTTTGTAAATAATTTTACAAAGAACGCCTGGGCCATTGCCTGCATTTTGATGTAAATAGAGGTAAATTACTATGTTCTTTGTTAAAAATTTGCATATGTTTTGAAGTTTACAATTTTTATTTGAAGTTTAAGTTTTAAAAACAGTTCATCACACATATTTGTGGTTTAATTTCACATTAATTTCCATATTGTATAAATGACTGGAAAAAACTTGAGCCCCTGCCCCTGTATAATCATGTGCACGTCCCTGTTCTAGCTCCAAGGTGAATCTTCACTGCTCATGTTCTCCTCAGAAATAGTCACCTCACTCCCCTCAGGTTACTGTACACATGCACCAACTATCTGCTTCAGGTTTGAAATGGAGCTTCATGGTTGTCTTTTGGAGAAATGAACAGTCAAGTTGTGTTTGAAATTTGATTTTTTTCAGGGGCAAAAGGAAGCCTCTGCATTCTTGTCAAATATGTAAACAGCATGTTTTTGCAGGTGCTAAAAAACAGACTCTGAGTGTGTGTGTGTGTCTGTGTGTGTGTGTGTGTGTGTGTGTGTGTGTGTGTGTATGTTGGCGTGTGTGTATATGTGTGTGTATCCTGCAGTACTCTGTACTCCTGCAGTGGCCAAAAAGACTTTTAAGAATGTGGATTTTTGGGTCATCTTTGGCGCCCCCTAGAACTGCAGTACTCTGTACTCCTGCAGTGGCCAAAATGACTTTTAAGAATGTGGATTTTTGGGTCATCTTTGGCGCCCCCTAGAACGTAAACCGTGGGGTGCAGCGTCATGATTTTTACAACTTTGAATGGGCATGGGGTGTAGATAGCCCTGAGCAAATTTGGTATCGGTGGGACGAAAGCCTTAGGAGGAGATAGCCACATTCCAATGTGTGCGAATCGGCAAAAAATGCAAAATAGCCCTTTAACCGTACATTATACAGATACGCGCTCTTTGACTTTTTCGTAGATCTAATTGAGATACACATGATTGTCAAATTTTGTGTCAATATGACAAAGCGTTCAGGCGTGACACTCAACAATGTGTATTTTTATGTAAGGGGACAAGAAAAAATTGCCTTTTTTCTCCTACCATGGGGGGGCGCTCTTTTGGGGAGTAAAAATTCCTTCACAAATGTGTTGATGGCTGGACATTGCATCATCCTAGAAAACTTGGAGGCCAGTGAGGACAGAAATAAAAAGTTATAAAACATTTAAGAATGTGGATTTTTGGGTTATCTTTGGCGCCCCCTAGAACCTAAACCATGGGGTGCAGCATCATGATTTGAATAACTTTTAATGGCCATGGGGTGTAGATTGGCCTGAGCAAATGTGGTGCCGGTGGAACGAAAGCCTTCGGAGGAGTTAGCGAAATTCCAATGTGTGCGTATCGGCAAAAAATGCGGAATAACCCTTTAACTGTACATTTGACAGATACGCGCGCACTGACTTTTTTGTAGATCTTATTGAGTTACATGTGTGTGTCAATTTTTGTGTCATTTTGACAAAGCGTATAGGCGTGACACTCAACAATGTGTATTTTCACCTTAGGGGACAAGAAAAAATGGAGTTTTTTCTCCTGCCATGGGGGGGCGCTCTTTTGGGGAGTAAAAATTCCTTCACAAATGTGTTGATGGCTGGACATTGCATCATCCTAGAAAACTTGGAGGCCAGTGAGGACAAAAATAAAAAGTTATAAGACTTTTAAATATGTGGATTTTAGTGTTATCTTTGGCGCCCCCTAGAACCTAAACCGTGGGGTGCAGCGTCATGATTTTGATAACTTTTAATGGCCACGGGGTGTAGATTGGCCTGAGCAAATGTGGTGCCGGTGGAACGAAAGCCTTCGGAGGAGTTAGCGAAATTCCAATGTGTGCGGATCGGCAAAAAATGCGAAATAACCCTTTAACCGTACATTTGACAGATACGCCCGCACTGACTTTTTTGTAGATCTTATTGAGATACATGTGTGTGTCAATTTTTGTGTCATTTTGACAAAGCGTACAGGCGTGACAGTCAATAGTGTGAATTTTCACCTTAGGGGGCGCTATGGAGCCATTTTGCATTTTCTTGTTTGGGCGACTTCGGAATATCAAATTTTTCACCAGGCCCGGTCGTCCTGCCAAATTTCCTGAGTTTTCGCCAGTGGGAAGTGGGCCATTTTCCAGTTCAAAGGGGAGGAAAAAGAAGAAAGAAAGAAACAAAGAAAAACCCCTACAGGAATAACAGGGCCTACGCCCGGCTGCTCTGCAGCTGGCTCGGGCCCTAACTAGGGCCCCGGTGGGGCACTGTCGGGCCCGAGCCGCGTCGCGCCGCCCCCAGTGCGACCGCCTCCCTGTCCCGATCGAGTCACACTCAAGAACCAAAGATGGTGTGCGCACTTGTCTGTGGTCATTTCCCATTATAATGAATGGGAGGCGCAGTTTCTACCAAAACACTCGCTGCAGACAAACTTCATGTCCTATTTGAAAAAAGTCTGGACCATGAGTGAGGGCACAAACACAGCTATGATATATCGAAATGCCAGGTTGCTCCTCCTTACGGTGTTGCCTGGAGAGCGATGCGATTGAGCCATTGAGCGATGGGCAGGGAAAACTTGACTTTTTCTCCTGCCATGGGGGGGATGTGGATTCTTTTAAGAATGTGGATTTTTGGGTCATCTTTGGCGCCCCCTAGAACGTAAACCGTGGGGTGCAGCGTCATGATTTTTACAACTTTGAATGGCCATGGGGTGTAGATTGGCCTGAGCAAATTTGGTGTCAGTGGGACGAAAGCCTTAGGAGGAGTTAGCCACATTCCAATGTGTGCGAATCGGCAAAAAATGCAAAATAGCCCTTTAACCGTACATTTGACAGATACGCACGAATTGACTTTTTTGTAGATCTTATTGAGATACATATGTGTGTCAATTTTTGTGTCAATATGATAAAGCGTACAGGCGTGACAGTCAATAGTGTGAATTTCCACCTTAGGGGACAAGAAAAAATGGACTTTTTTCTCCTGCCATGGGGGGGCGCTCTTTTGGGGAGTAAAAATTCCTTCACAAATGTGTTGATGGCTGGACATTGCATCATCCTAGAAAACTTGGAGGCCAGTGAGGACAAAAATAAAAAGTTATAAGACTTTGAAATATGTGGATTTTAGGGTTATCTTTGGCGCCCCCTAGAACCTAAACCGTGGGATGCAGCGTCATGATTTGAATAACTTTTAATGGCCATGGGGTGTAGATTGGCCTGAGCAAATGTGGTGCCGGTGGAACGAAAGCCTTCGGAGGAGTTAGCGAAATTCCAATGTGTGCGGATCGGCAAAAAATGCGGAATAACCCTTTAACCGTACATTTGACAGATACGCGCGCATTGACTTTTTCGTAGATCTTATTGAGATACATGTGTGTGTCAAATTTTGTGTCATTTTGCCAAAGCGTACAGGTGTTACACTCAACAATGTGTATTTTCACCTTAGGGGACAAGAAAAAATGGACTTTTTTCTCCTGCCATGGGGGGGCGCTCTTTTGGGGAGTAAAAATTCCTTCACAAATGTGTTGATGGCTGGACATTGCATCATCTTAGAAAACTTGGAGGCCAGTGAAGACAAAAATAAAAAGTTATAAGACTTTTAAATATGTGGATTTTAGTGTTATCTTTGGCGCCCCCTAGAACCTAAACCTTGGGGTGCAGCGTCATGATTTTGATAACTTTTAATGGCCACGGGGTGTAGATTGGCCTGAGCAAATGTGGTGCCGGTGGAACGAAAGCCTTCGGAGGAGTTAGCGAAATTCCAATGTGTGCGGATCGGCAAAAAATGCGAAATAACCCTTTAACCGTAATTTTGACAGATACGGCCGCACTGACTTTTTTGTAGATCTTATTGAGATACATATGTGTGTCAATTTTTGTGTCAATATGACAAAGCGTACAGGCGTGACAGTCAATAGTGTGAATTTCCACCTTAGGGGGCGCTATGGAGCCATTTTGCATTTTATTGTTTGGGCGACTTCAGAATATCGAATTTTTCACCAGGCCCGGTCGTCCTGCCAAATTTCATGAGTTTTCACCAGTGGGAAGTGGGCCATTTTCCAGTTCAAAGGGGAGGAAAAAGAAGAAAGAAAGAAAGAAAGAAAGAAACAAAGAAAAACCACTTGGGGAATAATAGGGCCTACGCCCGGCTGCTCTGCAGCTGGCTCGGGCCCTAACTAGGGCCCCGGTGGGGCACTGTCGGGCCCGAGCCGCGTTGTGCCGCCCCCAGCGTGACCGCCTCCCCCTCCCGATCGCGTCACACTCAAGGTCCAAAGATGGTGTGCGCACTTGTCTGTGGTCATTTCCCATTATAATGAATGGGAGGCGCAGTTTCTACCAAAACACTCGCTGCAGACAAACTTCATGTCCTATTTGAAAAAAGTCTGGACCATGAGTGAGGGCACAAACACAGCTGGGATATATCCAAATGGCAGGTTGCTCCTGGATACGGTGTTGCCTGGAGAGCGATGCGATTGAGCCATTGAGCGATGGGCAGGAAAAACTTGACTTTTTCTCCTGCCATGGGGGGGGAGAATGTGGATTCTTTTAAGAATGTGGATTTTTTGGTCATCTTTGGCGCCCCCTAGAACGTAAACCGTGGGGTGCAGCGTCATGATTTTTACAACGTTGAATGGCCATGGGGTGTAGATTGGCCTGAGCAAATTTAGTTTCAGTGGGACGAAAGCCTTAGGAGGAGTTAGCCACATTCCAATGTGTGCGAATCGGCAAAAAATGCAAAATAGCCCTCTAACCGTACATTTGACAGATACGCACCCATTGACTTTTTCGTAGATCTTATTGAGATACACGTGATTGTCAAATTTTGTGTCAATATGACAAAGCGTACAGGTGTCACACTCAACAATGTGAATTTTCACCTTACGGGACAAGAAAAAATTGACTTTTTTCTCCTGCCATGGGGGGGCGCTCTTTTAGGGAGTAAAAATTCCTTCACAAATGTGTTGATGGCTGGACATTGCATCATCCTAGAAAACTTGGAGGCCAGTGAGGACAAAAAGAAAAAGTTATAAGACTTTGAAATATGTGGATTTTAGGGTTATCTTTGGCGCCCCCTAGAACCTAAATCGTGGGGTGCAGCGTCATGATTTGAATAACTTTTAATGGCCATGGGGTGTAGATTGGCCTGAGCAAATGTGGTGCCGGTGGAACGCCAGCCTTAGGAGGAGTTAGCGAAATTCCAATGTGTGCGGATCAGCAAAAAATGCAGAATAACCCTTTAACCGTACATTTGACAGATACGCGCGCATTGACTTTTTCGTAGATCTTATTGAGATACATGTGTGTGTCAAATTTTGTGTCAATATGACAAAGCGTACAGGCGTGACACTCAACAATGTGTATTTTCACCTTAGGGGACAAGAAAAAATGGACTTTTTTCTCCGGCCATGGGGGGGCGCTCTTTTGGGGAGTAAAAATTCCTTCACAAATGTGTTGATGGCTGGACATTGCATCATCCTAGAAAACTTGGAGGCCAGTGAGGGCAAAAATAAAAAGTTATAAGACTTTTAAATATGTGGATTTTAGGGTTATCTTTGGCGCCCCCTAGAACCTAAACCGTGGGGTGCAGCGTCATGATTTGAATAACTTTTAATGGCCATGGGGTGTAGATTGGCCTGAGCAAATGTGGTGCAGGTGGAAAGAAAGCCTTCGGAGGAGTTAGCGAAATTCCAATGTGTGCGGATCTGCAAAAAATGCGAAATAACCCTTTAACCGTACATTTGACAGATACGCCCGCACTGACTTTTTTGTAGATCTTATTGAGATACATATGTGTGTCAATTTTTGTGTCATTTTGACAAAGCGTAAAGGCGTGACAGTCAATAGTGTGAATTTTCACCTTAGGGGGCGCTATGGAGCCATTTTGCATTTTCTTGTTTGGGCGACTTCGGAATATCAAATTTTTCACCAGGCCCGGTCATCCTGCCAAATTTCATGAGTTTTCGCCAGTGGGAAGTGGGCCATTTTCCAGTTCAAAGGGGAGGAAAAAGAAGAAACTAGGGCCCCGTTGGGGCACTGGCGGGCCCGAGCCGTGTCACGCCGCCCCCAGCGCGACCGCCTCCCCCATCCGATCGCGTCACACTCAAGGTCCAAAGATGGTGTGCGCACTTGTTTGTGGTCATTTACCATTATAATGAACGGGAGGCGCAGTTTCTACCAAAACGCTCGCTGCAGAAAAACTCCATGTCTTATTTGAAAAAAGTCTGAACCATGAGTGAGGGCACAAACACAGCTAAGATATATCCAAATGGCAAGTTGCTCCTCCTTTCGCTTTTGCCGAGAGAGCAGTGCGTTTGAGCCATTGAATGATGAACAGGAAAAACTTGACTTTATTCTCCTGCCATGGGGGGGCGCTCTTTTAAAGAGAAAAAACTCCTTCACAAATGTGTTGATGGCTGGACATTGCATCATCCTAGAAAACATGGAGGCCAGTGAGGACAAAAATAAAAAGTTATAAGACTTTTAAATATGTGGATTTTAGGGTTATATTTGGCGCCCCCTAGAACCTAAACCGTGGGGTGCAGCGTCATGATTTGAATAACTTTTAATGGCCATGGGGTGTAGATTGGCCTGAGCAAATGTGGTGCCGGTGGAACGAAAGCCTTCGGAGGAATTAGCGAAATTCCAATGTGTGCGAATCTGCAAAAAATGCGAAATAACCCTTTAACCGTACATTTTACAGATACGTGGCCATTGACTTTTTCGAAGATCTTATTGAAATACACGTGTATGTAAAATTTTGTGTCAATACGACAAAACATACAGGCGTAGCACTCAACAATGTGTATTTTCACCTTAGTGGACAAGAAAAAATTGACTTTTTTCTCCTGCCATGGGGGGGCGCTCTTTTGCCGAGTAAAAATTCCTTCACAAATGTGTTGATGGCTGGACATTGCATCATCCTAGAAAACTTGGAGGCCAGTGGGGACAAAAATAAAAAGTTATAAGACTTTTAAATATGTGGATTTTACGGTTATCTTTGGCGCCCCCTAGAACCTAAACCGTGGGGTGCAGCGTCATGATTTGAATAACTTTTAATGGCCATGGGGTGTAGATTGGCCTGAGCAAATGTGGTGCCGGTGGAACGAAAGCCTTCGGAGGAGTTAGCGAAATTCCAATGTGTGCGGATCGGCAAAAAATGCGGAATAACCCTTTAACCGTACATTTGACAGATACGCGCGCATTGACTTTTTCGTAGATCTTATTGAGATACATGTGTGTGTCAATTTTTGTGTCATTTTGCCAAAGCGTACAGGTGTTACACTCAACAATGTGTATTTTCACCTTAGGGGACAAGAAAAAATGGACTTTTTTCTCCTGCCATGGGGGGGCGCTCTTTTGGGGAGTAAAAATTCCTTCACAAATGTGTTGATGGCTGGACATTGCATCATCCTAGAAAACTTGGAGGCCAGTGAGGGCAAAAATAAAAAGTTATAAGACTTTTAAATATGTGGATCTTAGGGTTATCTTTGGCGCCCCCTAGAACCTAAACCGTGGGGTGCAGCGTCATGATTTGAATAACTTTTAATGGCCATGGGGTGTAGATTGGCCTGAGCAAATGTGGTGCCGGTGGAACGAAAGCCTTCGGAGGAGTTAGCGAAATTCCAATGTGTGCGGATCGGCAAAAAATGCGAAATAACCCTTTAACCGTACATTTGACAGATACGCCCGCACTGACTTTTTTGTAGATCTTATTGAGATTCATGTGTGTGTCAATTTTTGTGTCATTTTGACAAAGCGTACAGGCGTGACAGTGAATAGTGTGAATTTTCACCTTAGGGGGCGCTATGGAGCCATTTTGCATTTTCTTGTTTGGGCGACTTCGGAATATCAAATTTTTCACCAGGCCCGGTCGTCCTGCCAAATTTCATGAGTTTTCGCCAGTGGGAAGTGGGCCATTTTCCAGTTCAAAGGGGAGGAAAAATAATAATAATAACAAAAGAAGGAAACTACAGGAACAAGAGGGCTCTCGCAGCTGCTTAGCAGCTACGCTCGGGCCCTAAGAAAGAAACAAAGAAAAACCACTTGGGGAATAATAGGGCTCTCGCAGCTGCTTAGCAGCTACGCTCGGGCCCTATCTAGGGCCCCGTTGGGGCACTGGCGGGCCCGAGCTGTGTCGCGCGCCCCCCCCCCCCAACGCGCTGCCTCCCCGTCCCATTCGCGTCCTCTGGCCATCGTCCTCTCTGGTAACGCCCATCACTGCAAAGACCCTTTTCCTTCATCGGCGTTTGCTGTTCTTCCTGCCAGTGTGTGTGGCTTTCACTTGCACTTGCCACAGCCAGCCTCGTGAGTGCCTAGCCTATTGGATATCACTGTCACCTACACAGGACAGTCATTACCTTTCTATTAATACTTTGTTTTTTAATTTCACATTAATTTCCATATTGTCTAAACGACTGGAAAAAACTTGAGCCCCTGCCCCTGTATAATCATGTGCACGTCCCTGTTCTAGCTCCAAGGTGAATCTTGACTGCTCATGTTCTCCTCAGAAGCAGTCACCTCACTCCACTCAGGTTACTGTACACATGCACCAACTGCCTGCTTCAGGTTTGGATGAAGCTTCATGGTTGTCTTTTGGAGAAATGAGCAGTCAAGTTGTGTTTGAAATTTGATTTTTTTCAGGGGCAAAAGGAGCCTCTGCATTCTTGTCAAATATGTAAATAGCATGTTTTTGCAGGTGCTAAAAACCAGACTCTGAGTGTGTGTGTGTGTGTGTGTGTGTGTGTGTGTGTGTGTGTGTGTGTGTGTGTGTGTGTCTGTGTGTGTGTGTGTCTGTGTGTGTGTATCCTGCAGTACTCTGTACTCCTGCAGTGGCCAAAACGACTTTTAAGAATGTGGATATTTGGGTCATCTTTGGCGCCCCCTAGAACGTAAACCATGGGGTGCAGCGGCATGGTTTTTACAACTTTGAATGGCCATGGGGTGTAGATTGGCCTGAGCAAATTTGGTGTCAGTGGGACGAAAGCCTTAGGAGGAGTTAGCCACATTCCAATGTGTGCGAATCGGCAAAAAATGCAAAATAGCCGTTTAGCCGTACATTTTACAGATACGCGCGCATTGACTTTTTCGTAGATCTTATTGAGATACACGTGTGTGTCAATTTTTTTGTCAATATGACAAAGCGTACAGGCGTGAATCTCAACAATGTGTATTTTCACCTTAGGGGACAAGAAAAAATTGACTTTTTTGTCCTGCCATGGGGGGCGCTCTTTTGGGGAGTAAAAATTCCTTCACAAATGTGTTGATGGCTGGACATTGCATCATCCTAGAAAACTTGGAGGCCAGTGAGGACAAAAATAAAAAGTTATAAAACTTTTAAGAATGGGGATTTTTGGGTTATTTTTGGCGCCCCCTAGAACCTAAACCATGGGGTGCAGCGTCATGATTTGTACAACTTTGAATGGCCATGGAGTGTAGATTGGCCTGAGCAAATGTGGTGCCGGTGGAACGAAAGCCTTCGGAGGAGTTAGCGAAATTCCAATGTGTGCGGATCGGCAAAAAATGCGAAATAACCCTTTAACCGTACATTTGACAGATACGCCTGCACTGACTTTTGTCTGTGTGTGCGTTCAAGTCACATGACATATTTAACCGGATGTAGCTGCAAGACGGAGCCTCGTTGACTCTCCGTTTCAACTTATCTCAAAAGTGAGGACCTCAACCTATATACCAGTTTTTAAATTGTGTTGATAGGCCAGATAAAACCAGAGTTATGATAAATTATGTCCGCGATACTTTTTTTCTGCTTATTTTGATCACGTTCGGCGCTCGATCGCGCTGTATGAGACAGGAAAACATAGCATGCAGACATTAGCGACAGGTCTTACAGGCGGAAAAGGCTTGCCAAAAGAAAAAAAAAACACACCACAACATCTCTCCTATTGGTGGAAAACTTCACCACAACAACCAATCCAAAATTATATGGTGACTGATTGACAAGGGGCGGGTGCTTACGTTCTTCCTGCAACATGAGAAGGGAGGGAGGGACTCTCAGCAGGGATGCAGTCTGGGACACGTAGTTGCAAACCTAGCGACTTTGTTGTTAGATTCAATGACTTTTCAGACCCCCTTACGACTTTTTTTTAGAAAGAAAGGGACTTTTATCGACTTCTTCTGGAGTTTAGAGACTCTGACATGAAGCAGGCTTTCCTTACTGAGGAGTTAGCAACGCTGCTAAGGGTGCAGAGCCACACATGCGCTCAGAGCTCTGCATGGGAGACTGAAGCTGACAGAGCTGCAGCAGTTAGCAGGTTTCACCCTCAGAGACCACCAGGGGTTCATGTTGAGGCATTTTAAATTTTTTTTTTTTGTGCCATAGACACTGTCAGCACAATCTGCAGTTACACTAACAAAAATGCTGCAAAAAACAAAGAATTATGGAAAAATTACACATGGACTGACATAGAGGAGGATCTACACAAGTTTTTTACATCATGTTTTACATCATGCATCATTTACATCATGTTTTTTTGTAGTGGCATAAATAAAAAGTGACATTTGTGAGACTATACAGTGTTTTGTAAATAATTTTACAAAGAACGCCTGGGCCATTGCCTGCATTTTGATGTAAATAGAGGTAAATTACTATGTTCTTTGTTAAAAATTTGCATATGTTTTGAAGTTTACAATTTTTATTTGAAGTTTAAGTTTTAAAAACAGTTCATCACACATATTTGTGGTTTAATTTCACATTAATTTCCATATTGTATAAATGACTGGAAAAAACTTGAGCCCCTGCCCCTGTATAATCATGTGCACGTCCCTGTTCTAGCTCCAAGGTGAATCTTCACTGCTCATGTTCTCCTCAGAAATAGTCACCTCACTCCCCTCAGGTTACTGTACACATGCACCAACTATCTGCTTCAGGTTTGAAATGGAGCTTCATGGTTGTCTTTTGGAGAAATGAACAGTCAAGTTGTGTTTGAAATTTGATTTTTTTCAGGGGCAAAAGGAAGCCTCTGCATTCTTGTCAAATATGTAAACAGCATGTTTTTTCACTCTGAGTGTGTGTGTGTGCGTCTGTGTGTGTGTGTGTGTGTGTGTGTGTGTGTGTGTGTGTGTGTGTGTGTGTATGTTGGCGTGTGTGTATATGTGTGTGTATCCTGCAGTAATCTGTACTCCTGCAGTGGCCAAAAAGACTTTTAAGAATGTGGATTTTTGGGTCATCTTTGGCGCCCCCTAGAACTGCAGTACTCTGTACTCCTGCAGTGGCCAAAATGACTTTTAAGAATGTGGATTTTTGGGTCATCTTTGGCGCCCCCTAGAACGTAAACCGTGGGGTGCAGCGTCATGATTTTTACAACTTTGAATGGGCATGGGGTGTAGATTGCCCTGAGCAAATTTGGTATCGGTGGGACGAAAGCCTTAGGAGGAGATAGCCACATTCCAATGTGTGCGAATCGGCAAAAAAT